GGCACGGCCAACGGCGGCCTGCGCGGCCACGATGGGCCCATGCAGTTCACCTCGGAGCGCGACGACCCGGACACGCTGACCGCCGTCGAGGTGCTGCCCGCCTCCCGGGTGCTCGACGACGAGCTCGACATCGAGAGCGAGGAGATCCCGGGCGGCGTGTCGGGCCGGCGCGAGCAGCCGGGCCGCCAGCTGCGCACGCTGAACCTCTCCGTGGACGACTCGGAGGAGGAGGAGGCCGAGCAGTCGCTGCCGGTGATACCGACGGCGGGCGAGCCGGCGCCGCCGGCGGCCGCCGACAGCCCGCCGCCGCTGCGGCCCGGCAGCGCCGAGTCGGGCACCGCCTGGGGCGAGCTGGCCACCGGCGTCACTGGTGTCGACTCGGCGGACGGCCTGGAGGAGTTTGTGCTGGCGCCGGCCGCCCAGGGCGTGCAGATCAAGTGCCGCATCACGCGGGACCGGAAGGGCATGGACCGCGGCCTGTACCCCACCTACTTCCTGCACCTGGAAAAGGAGGACGGCAAAAAGGTGTTTCTGCTTGCCGGCCGGAAACGGAAGAAGAGCGCCACCAGTAACTATCTTATCTCGACCGACCCGACCGACCTGTCGCGGGGCGGCGAGGCCTTCGTGGGTAAGCTGCGCTCCAACCTGCTGGGCACCATGTTCACCGTCTACGACAACGGCTTGCCGCCGAGCAAGGTGCGCTCCGGTGACAGCAGCGAGGAGCAGCGGCCGCGGCAGGAGCTGACCGCCGTCGTGTACGAGACCAACGTGCTCGGCTTCAAGGGGCCGCGGCGGATGACCGTCATCATACCGGCCATGACCACCGAGCACAAGCGGATCCCCGTGGAGCCGGCCACCGAGGCTGAGGGCCTGCTGGAGCGGTGGCGAAACAAGCGCATGGACAACCTGCTCGAGCTGCACAACAAGGCGCCAGTCTGGAACGAGGAGACCCAGTCGTACGTGCTCAACTTCCACGGACGCGTCACGCAGGCCTCCGTCAAGAACTTCCAGGTGGTGCACGACAACGACCTCGAGTACATCATCATGCAGTTCGGCCGGGTGGCGGAAGACGTCTTCACCATGGACTTCCGCTACCCCATGTGTGCGCTGCAGGCGTTCGCCATCGCGCTCAGCAGCTTCGACGGTAAGCTGGCCTGCGAGTAACGGCCACGCCGGCCGATGACGGGAAGCGATTGCACATTCCGAGTCTGCCCGGCGCAGCGGGCCGACCGACTGACCTGATCTAGTCACAGCAGGAGACGGTGCGCGCCCCAGCGGGGCACCAGACACGACCGAATACTCGCCCCGGGGCGCACCTTTTATTCCAGGAGAGCTCAGAGCGTGCGCTGCTCAGTGGCCGCCGCACGCCGCGCGACGACCAGCGAGCTTTGACGAATCCGAATTGATAGCGCTCGGCAGTGGGATTATTTATGAGATTATGTCATCCGCCTGACGTACTTACGCGGAAATTCGTGTGTCTTATTTACACAAGTCTTACTATTACTACTATAGCTTTTTGCTGTATTTGGTGTGTCTTTACGGTGACAATACCTAACTGTAAATTGCTCTGTATCAATCGCACAAACTTACCGGTGCCAGCCATGCCACCGTGCCCAGATCAAGTCTAGTCATATTTGTTTGATTCCGGGAGGGGAGGGGTCACAGAGGCCGCCGCGGTGCCAGTCCGTCCAGTTGTTGTTAGCACCTGTGAGCCGTGGTATGTGAGCTGCCCAATAAACAGCTGCAGTAGCAGCCTGTCCGCCGTCTGTCCAAGACGTGTATCGACCGGCCGTCCAGCTGACTCTGTCCTGTCCCTCAATCTGCCACTGGGGAGGGGTCGATGCTCAGTTCGTTTCTGCGCGGCTCGACTGGTGACGCACGAACTCGCAGCTGTTTTTCATTCGCCGCAGCGGTCGGCCGGCCGTCTCCGCCTCCAGTCCGCACGGCCACCTTTTGCGCCGGGCTGCGCGACTGGACCGATGGTATCCATCACAAACGGACGCTCTGTGCTCGCTGCAAGCCGGCCAGCGGCGCGCGCCTCCGTCCGTTGAACTTTGCTACTGTGCTGCCAGCCCGTCCCTAATCCGCTACGGGATTGGAGCACTGAGCAGACGTAGCTGGTGACAGTTTATCATTTGATGAGACAACCATGTGGAGGCATAACAAAAATACTGTCTGTCATCTACGGTGTTAAGACTTATCGCTTCCAAAAGTTCCAAATGGCTACAGTGACAATCCCCAGATGTGTCTGGCTTATGCTGTAACACGAAATCGGCCCAATTATTATCTACGAATCAATTTCACCATTTTGATTGCAACCGATCATTTCTTTGTAATTAAGTGACTTAATTGATCCGAACACAGAATATGTCAACGCTCCTAAGTCCTAACTGACTGTGATGCGCGCAGAGCCGCCGGGGTGCCGCTGTTGAATAACTGATTGGAGCGCGCAGCCGCGGGCCGCGGTGCACCTGTCGGTCGCCGCGCCCGCCGGCGACACTGGTACCGGCCATCGATCCCAGCTGGACGCCGCGTCGGTCGGGCCCGAGCCGCCCCCGGTCGCGCCAGCTCGACGTGCCACTGCGCTCGGTGACAGCTCGGCAGCGGCCCCCGACCCGACCAGGGGCTGTCTGTGGGATCCCCGACTGCGGGGCAGGGTTACTTTTACAGGAAAAGTTGAGAGGGGGAATAAAGTTCGGGGCAAAGGCGGATCCAGGGGCATCTGAAAGGGGGGTGGGCGGCAATACCATTAGGTTTTTCGTTAGGATGGAGCCCGCAGAACCTTACCTACCCCCAAATCCTATTCTTTCCTCGGGTTTCAGCCACTTTATTTTGGAAGGTTGCCAAAAAATAATTTTGCTAAAAAATATACGCACCTACCTTGGCTGTAAGGGGCGGGGGAGGTCCCAACTTGACTGCGCCCTTGCAAATGCCAATCAGTAGTATCAACCTATCAGTGGTATCAATAACTAGTAGGTATACCCCGGCCAAACATTAAGTAACGCCTTTCTAAAGAGAGAGGTTAATCCGCGCCCTGATTGGAGGTCATTTTGGCCCCTATGTGGGTTTTCTTGAAAAGCGAAAAACGGCGGCGCGCAGCGCCGCCAAATTTTTAGTACCTTACCGGGCATCAATTTGAAACCTTCGCACAAAATTTCAAGTCTTAGCCCTTAGGTCACCTTAGGTCAGGAGTAATTGATGTCAAACTGTTCGAGCAAAAATGAGCAAAAAACATGAAATTCTTAAACGCTCACAAAAGCTACAGTTAACGAGCAATTCCAAAGTTCTTTGTGTGGTCGTGTATGTAGAGAAACGACGGCGCTACAAAACTGCAACCTCTACAACTACAAGGTGGGCAGTGATATCCGAACAAAAACTAATGAAGCACAAAACTTGAATTATTACTATTAGTATTAGTGAGCAGTGAAAGTTCCATTGGGAAAGCCGGCTGTGATGAGGTACATTTTTTTGCGCCCTGCTCTGCATGCAAAGCAGATGAACGTGAATGCTGCATAAAGAGAAAAGTCATTTATTACTCAAAGCTTTGATGCCTATGGGACAAAAATAACGTTGTTTTTCCTTCAATGATTCCGGTTTGGAGGATGGTTAAACACGGCCATTGTCATATTGGGACAAAAAATTTTAGATGTCTGGCCTTGGCGTCGATGAAAAAGTGAAAATAATCGTGAATAAATGGGTCGTTTCTGAGAAAGAACACAGAATATAAAAGGGGGTCCAAAAGGGGGTCACCTTCTTTTTGCGTCAAAGGAGGGGCCATGGCCCATTGCCCCCCTCCCCCTGTATCCACCCTTGGTTCGGAGAGGTAATCCCGTCCCCCGCCGGTTTCTACGCCGACGCCTGTACCGATATGTCAGTGATTGCGAAAAGACGGAAGAGACAAGACAAGAGACGGTCCCACCGACTATCCGATCGGTATCGGGTCAAATCTGGAGTTCCTGCTGCACTGAACGTAAAATGGTTGGATGGAACCGAAAATTGAAAATTTGATAATTATCAACGCCAGCAACGTTGATTGATGACGAGAATCTGATTAACGATGACTATAGAATCTGAATAGCGAATTGATTGAAAATGGGCTCCAAAATAAATTTGAAAGGGGGAAATTCCCCCTTCCCTCCCTAGCCGTTCAGACACGATTTGAAAGGGGGAGCGGAATTTTCGAAGGGGGGAAATTCCCCTCTTCCCCCCCTTTAAAAGTAACCCTGCTGCGGGGTACGGGACACAAGACACTGTCCGTGTTCGCCAGCTCGGCATGAAGAGACGAGCAACAACCGAGAAATGAAGATACCACCATTCTTTGTCGGGTGATATGGGTGTCAGTCGCACGTCATTACATACTTTGGGTGTAGCGACCGGCGAGCGAAGTCGAGCCCGCCCGCCCGCTGCTGACAAGTCAATAACAACAGGAGCCATTGATCACAGCAGAACAATGCGCCGTCATGGATCGCGTGTGACGCCCCCCACGGTCGGGGGATGGGGGCGTCAGATGACGTAAGGGCGCCGCTCAGGTCGAGTCGCGGCGCGCTGTAGCCGCCCCGCGCTGCCGTCGCCATGGCTGGCGGCGGCGGATTATCCGGCGACCACCGCCAGTCGATACCACGGCGGCCGCTCTGTACCGGCGTCAACAAAGCACCGCCTCACCGAGACACGAGCGGTACTCGACGAGCCCCTCGTCCACACCAGAGGGGCATTGGCAGGGAACGATTGCAATTCCTGGGGAGAAGTGTCGCCACGCATTTCTCGGAACTCGAAAATCGAAATGGAAGGATAATTCGCGGTACGGTCTGAATTAAAGCTTGGTTGAAGCGTTTCGCAACTTATGTTGATGAAAGCTGGAACACATTTATAGTGATTATGAAAACGTTACACATACAGGTCTTCAACTTTCATTGCATTTTGATAGATCGGGGATCTATCGGAGGGTACTGGCTGTAATCATTTAAACCCCGAATTCCCGTATTATCCCGAACATTCACATGCTGCCCTCATCACTGTATTGCGATATGGCGCTGGACGATTCATGGAAAAAACAGCCGATGTTGCCATTCTTTCTCAGGTACATGGGCATATCAAAATAAACCGAAGGAAAGACGTTCGCTACGATACAAGAAGTTAAAAACATGGCACATGGCATTCACGTGGTCTTAGCTCGGAGAACAGTCACTGCGATAGGTAACCCTAGAATTCAGGGACCGCAAGAGGCACTGTCCAACATCCCTTCATCAGCATCCCTGTGCTGCACTGGGTCGCCGCATACGTCTCGGTCCACGCCGCCCTTTCAATTCCCTGCCATCTCACAGCTTTACCTACCAGATCGCCAGCAGGTGTCTCCGCCGACCTGCCGCACTCAGTCGTCCAGGCTCTTGAACAGCGAGGCGCGCGGACACGGCCTCTCGGCGGCGCTTTTCCGTTGGGCTTTGTCGGCACCCGTGCGGATCTGCTTTAGGAGCAGCGCGTAGGAGGTCTCCAGCAGCGGGTCGGCGTGCGCCAGCTCGGGCCCGTTCCAGCGGATGGCGATCTCCTCTGCAGCGTTCTCCGACAGGCCGTCACCGCCGGCGGACGCCACCTCTCCGATCACGGCCGTCACGGCCTCGATGACGCCACGGGGCGGCGCCAGCAGCCACAGGCGCACCCAGGCGTCCAGGTGGTGGCGCAGAGACGGCCGGGCCCACCGCAGGTTCCACAGCCGCCCAAACAGCTCCTCGTTGTCGAGCGTCGCCCGCGACGACATCTGCTGTAGCACTCGCACCACCGTGTCAGGGCTGTTGTGCAGCGCGGCGACCTCGGACGGTATCATGCGGCGCGCCATCAGCCGGCGGCAGGCGGCCGTCACGTCGGTCGCCTTCGTCACAGAGTCGCGCAGGTCTGTCACCGCGCGCAGGTCGTCAGACGAGCGGAGCATTAGGTCCCGGCCCGAGGGTACCAGCCTGCCGCCCGGCCGCAGCGCCGCCTCCACCGCCTCACAGAACGCCGTGATGTCCGACGCCTGAAATCAACACATCAATTGGATGAAAAAATTGGCGTAAAAAACCTGCATAGGTAAACAGAATCTCCTTGGTAATGGTGCCAAGTTGCAACACAAGTGTTTCGCAGCATAGAATGCGGTAGAAAATCACTGGCAAATTTAATATTTACAATTTTCACTCTCGATTTTTTTTTGCATGAATCGACACATGAGTTGCTTCATAAATATAAAGTCATCTGAAATCAAATTCCGATATCTTTAAACACACCCGACGACCCAGCAGCACCACCTACCAGACATCCTTTAGAGAGGACCTCCGCATGGTGAGCCAGCGTCGGAAACAGCCTCTGCAGCTCAGCGTCCGCCAAGCTTTCTCCGCAGCTGAGCGTCTTGCACGTATTCACACAGCTGTGCATGCAGCGCATGGTGGCCGCCGCGCCGGCGCCGCCGTACCGGGCCTCCCAGGGCGGGAGCCGCCGGCGCGCCTGCCCGCCGCTGCCGCCGCCGCCGCCCGACTCGTTCAGCAGCCAGTAGAGGTCGCACAGCGCCGCCACGCGCGCCTTGAAGTCGCCGTCTGCGGTGAGCCACACGGTGAGAGGGCGCGGTGGTGGACCGCCATGGACAGCGGGGCTCGGCCAACATGTGCAGGGACAAAAACCAAAAGAGAACGACACTTGAACAGCTTATTCACGTAAACAATGTAAATTTCGTGGTCATGTGCTATCGGTTTGCACGCCTTTTCTCTTCCCGCAGTCTACAAATGTAAATCGTCATTACGGAGCGAGCGAAGCGAGCGTAGTCTTTCCTTAGATTAACCCGCGCGGGGCTGGGGTCTCCAGCCGAACGCGCGGGGCTGGGGGGGGGGGGGGGTAAATTTTACCCCCCCCCCCTGTTATCTCCCGAACTAACGGTCCGATATGGAAAATTCAAACGCCAATCGAAAGCTCTCATCACGAACTACTAAAAACATGTACTTAATTTAAAGTTTGAGGTCAAGGTCAAGGTCAGGTCAAGGGTACAAATTGCAAGTTTCTACAGTATCGGCCTTGCACCGTAGTTGCCGAAGAATGGAGTCATGGACTGAGACTGATCGCCCAAAACGTGTTCTTAGGCTACCAAGACAATATTCGTTGCATACAATATCATTCAGAGGTCAAGGTCAAGGTCAGGTCACCAAAAAACAAAATATAGAAAAGGGCATGTGCGACACATGTTTTATGGGTCATTTTACTCATAGAATTCAATAGGCACACTCAATAAGTGATATGGACCACCTCTGGATGAATTTCAGGTCGAGGTCAGGTCAAGGTCAGGTCAAGTGAGGTCAAATTTTGAAGTTAGTTGTTAAGGCCTAAAAAGGTGTCTATCTGAGGCACTTTTTCACGGCGAATCGAATGGTGCTATTTTTGTTTCCGTACGAGGTCTAGAACTTCCAAAAAAGTCATTTTTCAAAAATTTTGTGTGTCGTGACGTCATAAAATTTTGAATAACTCCCACATTTTTGAACCGATTCTTCTAAAATTTGGTATGTAGGTGCACATAGACCACTTCTCTGACATATATTCCGGTTTTTTCGATAGACTCAAAATTTTGGATTTTATAATGATTTTCCCAAAAAAGTCAGTTTTTTTGAAAAAAAATTAGGCCAAAATCCAGAATTTTCAAAAAACTGAGATAGCCATTTGATAGACAAAGTAAAATTACGTATAACCTTTTTTGTTACGTCTTGATTCCTTTAAAAATGAAGATGTTAGCGGCGTTTGAACTTTTGCCGTTTTTGAGGCGAAAATGACGAACATGACGTCACTAAAGTCAATTTCTCAAAAATTTTCCGACGGATTTCGCTCAAATTTTCAGGGAACGTGTCAAATTGATGTAAGAAAAGGTATTGAAAGTTTGGCGGCGCTGCGCGCCGCCGTTTTTGAGATATCGCAAAAAATTCGCGAGGGGGGGGTAAAATTTACCCCCCCCAGCCCCGCGCGGGTTAACGGAAATTTCTGAGTATGAGCGGCCGGCCGGCCGGCCGGCCGGCCGTGCGGACGCTTTTGCGAGGCTTATATCTCAGCAACCACTTGACCGATTTACACGCGGTAATTTTTGTAGGGTAGCTTCATTCCTTCTACCAAGTATTGGACTATTCCCGATGCGTGTGGGTGACCCCTTATGCACGTGCCACGTGCAAAACGAAGAGGTGTCAGTTTTGTAATTGTTGCAATATCTCGGTAACTACTTGGCCGATTGCGCTGAAAGTTGGCATGTAGGTAGGCACCCACAAGGCACTGCATATCCATGTGCCAGAGTTGGGGTGCTGCTGCACGTGCGCACGTGCAGGGGTCGTTTCCAGATCTCGAGAACGGCTGGACCGATGGCGCTCAAATTTGGTACACGGTTAGGGACCAGTTAGTAGGGTGCCGTGCTCAAGTCAGTTGGGACCCATTTTGCACGTGCGCACGTGCAGGGTGCCGCTCCCAGATCTCGAGAACGGCTGGGCCGATTGTGCTCAAATTTGGCACATCGCTAGAAACCGGTCAGTAGGGTGCCGTGCACAAGTCAGTTGGAGGTACCCCCTCGAAATTTTGCACGTGCAAGACTCACTCCCTCGCTCGCTCCGTTAGTCGCCCCAAAAGGCGCTATACTGGTGCTAAGAAATGGGATCGCGGAAGTGTCACAAACCAAGAATCAAGAAAGCGTTAAATAACAATTCAACTAAGGCAGATATTCACGAACCAGCAAAATGCTCATTACAAACAAATTTTGCAGTTAAATTGACCTCAAAACTGTTTGTAATGCACATTTAGTTACATTGCTGATTTGTCTGGGGTAAAGGTACGTGGTGTGGGATTGATTCCTTTCGGTTATATCGTGGTAAACAGAGAAGGAATCGGTCCCACACTGGTGATTGCGGAATGCCAGGAATATAACAACTAAGGATTATCAATAGACACATGTGACATATAATTATAGAGCATTATGGCCTAAACTTTTGAATTCATATCAAAAGGGGAAAAAACGCAAGAAATTACCCAACGTTTCGCATATATTACTTAGTCATGGGTCTTAGAAAGCGATTGTTTAGGCCATACATGCACTATAATATGTCACATATAACAACTAACCTGCAAGCTTTTCCCGAGCTACGGCGTCATTGGGATTATCCCTTTGTTCCTCCAAGCGCTTCCCCAAAACAGCTTCCATCCGCTTCCACTTCTCAAAGAACTTTTCGAGCGATGCAGCCTTCTCCGAAACGGTAGCCGTGTCAGAAAAAGGTCGCACTACCGTGGTGGCTCCATCTGGCCCGGCAGGAGCCGGCGCCGGCCGTTCCGAGTCACCACCGGCCGCGAACCGAGCACTGATGAGCTCTACATCGCTGATCACCCGCGATACCCACTGGCAGTCCGGCTGGGCGCGCGCCTGTGCCTCGGCCTGCGAGGACGTCGGCTCACTGGTCCGCAGCGGCACCACGAGCAGGCCGGCGGGGTGCGGCCGGCCGGTGGTGTCGCGCATCAGCCTCAGAAGCCGAGAGGGCACCCGGAGCACGCGGTACTCGTCACCAACAGCGATAGCGGCCAGCTGCTCGGCCGCGCGCACCCCGATGGCATCCAGCGCCGCCTGGATCTTCTTGGCCGTCCAGTCGCCGTCCAGGTCGGCCACCTGCCAGACGCCCACCACGAAGCTCTGCACCAGGTGCTCGGGTGGGGCGGCGGGCACCACGGTCAGCACCATCACCACGCTGAAGTGCATCCCGTTCACCGTCACCTTGCTGGCCAGCACCGACACACACGGCTGGGTGGCGATGTGCTCCTTCAGTTTGTTCATTATCTCGCTGTAGAATGTGTGTCGCGCCAGCGGCAGCAGTGCCTCCGGGTCGGCGTGGCATATCTCCGCCCCATTCAGCATCTGCAGTGCGATCAGGTCGGAGAAGCTCTGCTCCGAGCCGGAGAACCGAGTCACTAAGTAAGCGGTGCGCAGCAGGTTCATGGCTCTTGGGAACTCATTCTGATGCGTCAGTTTGGGTGACGTGTGTTTCTGCGCCAGCTTCATGTGCACCGATGATCGAAAGAGGTGGGATTTCAACGCAGTCTTCAGCGATCTGAACGCATTGGGCAGCGATTCGGTGTAATCGAAACTTGTTCCGAGACTCATATCATACTGGAACCATCCGGCGGTGTTCCGTTTCTGGTGGCCGACGGCCGCTGCCGGGTCCCTGCGGAGGCACAGGGAGCAGTAAACCACGCCTTTCTGCTCGTCCACCACGAGGATGCCGCCGGACGCCTCAGAGATGTCCTTCATGCTGCGCGCCGCTCGCAGCTGCTTCTCGTCGCAGCTGTCCTTGGACCGAGCGGACCGCGGCGCCCCCTCCAGCAGTTCCATAATGCGTACCGTGTTCGCCCTGACCTCGGCCAGCGTACCCATCGCCAGATGCCTGAACTCGGGCTCCGAGCTCTTACGACTACTGGTGACTTTTTTCTTGGGCGGCCCCCTCGAGGCCGGGGCACTTCGTTTCTTTGGAGGTCGAGATGAGCCAGCATCTGGAAAAAAACATTCACTGTGTCACTTGACGGTTAAACATCGGAGCTGTAATAAAAAGCACATCATGAGGACCATGTGTATGTAGATATCACGACACATATCTAATACTGTGCGCAAGTACTCTTCAAGGGCAAGATCAATAAAAAATTCAGAATATCAGCTTGGTCATTTACAAAATCATTAATTAACATGTATTTCAGAAAGGGTTGCGGACGACTCCGCCCATAATGTTATTATCTTCTTCGGTCATGTCTCTGCATTGACTTCAACTTCCTAACCTCTCGTTCACACTCAGACCCACTCAATATCCAAGAGCTGGTAAAATGTATATTCAAAACAAAACCCCGAGCTTGTCATAAATTTAGAATACCCATAACTAATTTCTGCATAGCATGAGCTGATCCAGAGACGTCTCGACAATGCTACACTCATTGACCTCTCGTAAGAAGCCACAACACATGGGAAGTCAGAACACGCTCTGCCTAATTCAAGGTAAGAACTAGTGGTTCAGTTTCAGAAAATGTTTGTCAATGTCCGCCCAATGTCCGGTATTTTCGTCAACTATCCGTCCAAAAATATCCAAGTAAGCTATTTGTCCAAAGATGTCCGAAAAAATACGCAATAGTTAACACTAAACACTGTTATATAAGTTCCTTTTAATGTGCTATTACCAGCCCAAAAGTGTTAATCATATCGAGAGCTGAGCTTTCTATTCGTCAATCATTGGCATATACCATTACTTTATAAAAAAGGTAAGGTGTAGCAAGTGAATGTCCAATGTTGTTCAAAGCTTACTGCCTTTGTCCTGCCAAATTCCGGATTCGACATTGGGCAACATCGGAATACCGAAGGTTAAAGTTCCGATTGGCACCACTAGTAAGAATATTGATCGCAATCGGTCCACTTCGCAGTAGGTAATTGAAAAGTAAGCCTTTGCAGATTGTGATTACGGCCGGACAGCCAATTGGTCGCTCATCCGTTGGTCTACTTGTATGAATTACGTCGCTTTACGCCAGTGTCCAAAAATTGTATTTTCGCTTGGGTGTGGGAAGGGGAAAATTGTCACCCAAAAGGAAGATAAGAGTGGAAAACTGTCCGTCACATAAGGTCCAAAAAAGTGGAAAAGGATCCATGGCGCACATTTATCGGTATACAAGTGTGACAGATTGTAGGATGTAAAACAACCATCCACGCAAACGCTTGCTGCCAGTAAAACTGGGCGTGAAAATAGCTCTTAAAAACGGGGATGAGAGTGCAAAATGATTTTCCTTTGGACGTCAGTTCCCACCCACATCGACAAATTTTGGGATACTGCTTTACGCTCGCTCGTTATCAGTCGCTTAAGGGTAAACAAAGGTTATAGGTATTCTATTTGGCACCTACAATAAATTAGGTATATTGAACTAGGCAGGACCGTTTCGCCATTATCTTTTACCATCATACAAGATTTCGGGCCTTGCTTTAGCGTGGCTTGAGTCCTATTTTACGGCCAGAATGCAACGGGTGGTGATCAATGGTAAATGCTACGCATGGACTCCTGTGCGGTCGGGAACGCCCGAAGGTAGTCTTCTCTCGCCTTTATTGTTCGCGTGCTTCATCAACGATTTGCCCGATTCTGTGAACTTGAACTGTCTCATGTTTGCCGACGATGTCAAACTTTATCACAGGATAGAATGCCAGGATGATTGTCTCTTTTTGCAAAAACAGATAGATGCCCTGTGCCAATGGTCTCAGGTTTGGGACATGTCACTCAACCCAAGCAAATGCAAAGTGCTGTCATTCTCGCTCCGTCGTGTTCAGATCACCGGTGCGTACACACTAGGCGGTGAGATGCTGGAACGGGTGAGTGAGATGCGGGACCTGGGTGTTGTACTCGATGAGAAATTGACTTTTGCTGGTCACATCGATAGTGTCGTCCGTAAAGCAAACAGGGCCCTCGGTCTTCTCATTAGGTCGTTCCAGACAGGGAAACATGGGCGATCTTTTTATCATTGTGATTCCCGCGCCATCGTCACTTCATACTGTGCTAACGTGCGTTCGATTCTCGAGTACGGAAGTGTTATTTGGGCCGGTGCGGCTGATACTCACTTGCTACGACTCGACCGCATACAGAACAAATTTTTGATGTGGCTCAGTGCTCGCTGTCGGCTCAATGATGCTTTACAACCTGCTGTACTGCAAAGGCAGACGGGCTTAGCAAGCCTATATAGTCGGCGAAACCAGCACGATCTCATCTTCATATACAATGTTCACCGTCATGTGATACTCATCATGCCTTCTCATGCAGTTGCCGCTCGCCGTACCAGCGAGAGCAGTGCGTCGTCGGACCACATTTCATGTTCCCCAAGCGACGGTCAATACCATCAAGCGTGGCCTTCTTGTTCGTATCCCAGAGACTTGCAACGCGTTCATCGATGCTCACCGCGATGTCGACATATGGCACCAGAGCTCCTATCAGTGGAGATCAAGCGTGCTGAGCGCCATCTAGAGATGAGCACCTGTCTTATGTTTTAAGGTGTTGGTGCTGTATGTATTTATTGTTTTATATTATGACTTCATCCGTCATTGGGTGTGTGCCTGTGGATGACTGATTGAATAAACCAAACTAAACTAAACATCTCTAAATCATCTAAGTGACAAATGTAAAACCTCCGCTAATGGCAAGCTTAACCACTGGGGATCGTCACAGTCTCGTTTCACTTTACTGAGTGGCGCAGAGGGCACCGCCAGCAGCACGGCACCGTATGTACTTACTGTTGGCCGGGCCGGCGCTGGCGGGACCGTTGTCCGGAGGAGCCGGCGCCGCCGCCGCCCTGCAGTCGCTGGTGACGGTGCAAGGTGTGGGTGGTGCCGTCAGGTCAGACCGCGTCAGAGACTGGCTGCTGGTGCCTGCTGACGGGTCACTAGTGCTGGCTGACGTGTCACTGGTGCCTGCTGACGGGTCACTGGTGCCTGGCGGCCGGTCATTGGTGCCCGCTGATTGGTCACCAGCATCAGCTGAAGACTGGTTACAGGCAACTTCTGAATGTTTTTTGGCGACTTCTGAACGGCCACTGGCACACGGAGAAGGGTTACCAGCACGTGCCGACCGCTCACTGGCACATAGCAACCGGTCACCGGCGCCCGCTAACGGGTCACCGTTAGCTGCCAAACGACACACTGCATCAGTCATCACACTTCACACAGTCCAGTGCAGGAAGACCCTGTTATTGCCTGGTCATGTCAGCACTGGGATGGCTACATACCCTCACACCTAACCCAAACCAAATCACAACCATGAACCAACCATACAATGTTTGAGACACATCTGATTAGGACAGTGATAGTTTAACAATCCCATAAGAACCTGTTGAATGTAGGAAACTATAAACATCACTTTTTGGGAGAATCATGCTATGAATAAATATTCAACTTAGCAAAAGAAATATAAGTAAGACTGGTTATAACGCTATATAATCCATGTCATGGAAGGTCTTAATACATTATCTATCTATCTATAAGTAGAGCCACCCTATCCCAAATCAACATAGATACCTTGAGCCAGTGACCATGCAACTGCTTCTGGGTCTGGTTCAGTCTTGATCTTCTGGAGCATTTCCTCATCGGGAGGGTCACCTGCAGCAGTAAAGGCAAGGTGATCCTCAGTCCGCCGGACAGTACCACCAAACAAACCCACCCTGGGGTACCTAGATAGCGATATCATATTTGATATTACCAAATGATGACATGACATGGAAACACATGTTGGTGTTGATGAATGCCAGTGAGAGACGGTGACAGAGACAGAGACAGAGACGGGAGACGAGAGACGAGAGAGCGAAGAGAAGAGAAGAGAAGAGAAGAGAAGAGAAGAGAAGAGAAGAGAGAGAGAGAGGCAGAGAGAGAAGAGAGAGGCAGAGAGAGAGAGAGGCAGAGAGAGAGAGAGAGAGAGAGAGAGAGAGAGAGAAAGAGAGAGAGAGAGAGAGAGAGAGAGAGAGAGAGAGAGAGAGAGAGAGAGAGAGAGAGAGAGAGAGGCAGAGAGAGAGAGAGAGGCAGAGAGAGAGAGGCAGAGAGAGAGAGAGAGAGGCAGAGAGAGAGAGAGAGGCAGAGAGAGAGAGGCAGAGAGAGAGAGGCAGAGAGAGAGGCAGAGAGAGAGAGGCAGAGAGAGAGAGAGAGAGGAAGAGAGAGAGAGAGAGAGAGAGAGAGAGAGAGAGAGAGAGAGGCAGAGAGAGAGAGAGAGAGAGAGAGAGAGAGAGAGAGAGAGAGAGAGAGAGAGAGAGAGAGAGAGAGAGAGAGAGAGAGAGAGAGAGAGAGAGAGAGAGAGAGGGAGAGAGAGGGAGAGAGAGGCAGGCAGAGGCAGGCAGAGGCAATTTAAGCGAGACAGAGGCAGACAGAGACAGAGGCAGACAGAGACAGAGGCAGACAGAGACAGAGGCAGACAGAGACAGAGGCAGACAGAGACAAAGGCAGACAGAGACAAAGGCAGACAGAGACAGAGGCAGACAGAGACAGAGGCAGACAGAGACAGAGGCAGACAGAGACAGAGGCAGACAGAGACAGAGGCAGACAGAGACAGAGGCAGACAGAGACAGAGGCAGACAAAGACAGAGAGATGCAGAGACAGATACATTTACCTGGTAGTATGTAGCAAGCAAATTGTCCAGAATCATCAGCAGTCTGGACAGCTGCCATGACACCTTCATCCCCTCTGGAACAGAACCAGTGAAAGTAAGGGTCAGGATCTATTTGCTTGACAAAATTAAAATTTAAAAACCTAACTTTTTTAAGTGCTGGTTTAATCATGAAGCAGCTTCTTGATTCATATTGCTTATGCATTAGCGCTGAGGCCCATCTATGTCCACTGTATGCCACACTGAGCACCAAACCTACCTGTTCGTGCTCTGCAGTATTGCAGTCACAGCTCCTTTATTGATATTCATCTTTTAGACTTTAACCGGCGCCCCGCTGGGGGGGGGGGGGAGGGCAGAATCTGCCCCCTCCCGTTTTCCGCCTAGTATTCTATGACCGTGTTTTCTGCCAATAACTTGTAAACGCGTTACGCCAGCGACGTCAAACTGTCAGTACCTTATTATGCATCAATTTAACACGTTCCCTGAAAATTTAAGCGAAAATTCTCGAAAATTTTTTGAGAAAACGACATTTAAATGACGTCATGTCCGCCAATTTTGGCTAAAAAACGGCAAAACTTCAAACGCCGCTAACATCTTCATTTTTAAAGGAATCAAGACGTAACAAAAAGGATATACGGGATTCTACTTTGTCTATCAAATGGCTATCTAGGTTTTTGAAAATTTTAGCTTTTGACCCATTTTTTTTCTCTAAAAAAACTGACTGGATTTTTTTTATATAAAATCCAGAATTTTGAGTGTATCGAAAAAAGGAATATATGTCAGAGAAGTGGTCTATGTGCACCTAACATACCAATTTTTAGAACAATCGGTTCAAAAATGTGGGAATTATTCAAATTTTTATTAGGTTTAGGTTTAGGTTTAATCGGATGGGCTGGTGTAGACTAGGTGTCTATTCGGTGCCCACGTCAGGTATAAGGTAGGTATACTGGACTGATTGGATCTAGGGTATAGCCGTTTGCGCCATGAATTGGTCAAGCCGGTTCTTGAAAGTGTTAGTGCTGTTTGCCAGTACAACATCTTCTGGTAGTTTGTTCCAGTCATGGATTATACGATTTGAGAAGAACTTTGCTCTTGCAACGGTTTTCGATCTTTTGACTTTCAGCTTCTTGCTGTGGCCTCTTGTTTGGCAGTCATTGTTCATGGTGAAGAATTGCATTGGGTTTACATTGATGTGTCCTGAAAGCAGCTTGAATGTCTCTATTAAGTCTCCTCGCCTCACTCTATCTTCGACACTTGGCAAATCCAGTCTTCTCAGTCTCTCCTTGTAGGTCAAGTTCTTCAGTCCCTGTACTAGCTTGGTAGCTCTTCGCTGTACCTTCTCTAATGCCCTGAAGTCTTGTACCATATGCGGACCAACTGCCTGAATACAGTGTTCTAGGTGAGGACGTATATATATAGTGTACAAAGTTTTGAAGTTTGTTGTAGTCAGGGTGTCAAAGGTCATTTTAAGAAGTTTCAGTGCTGACATGGCTTTGTTACTGGCCTTCAGGCAGTGGTAGGTAGGCTTCAGCGAGCTAGACACCCAAACTCCCAGGTCTTTCTCCACATCTGTTTTTATAAGCTCCAATGCCTCTCCATTTGGTTGTTTCAAATGATACCTTTCTCTGGGATTTCCGGTGCCAAAATGCATTACTTTACATTTCATCGCATTGAACTGTAGGAGCCACTTCTCGGACCAGCAGGCCAGTGTGTCCAGGTCAGATTGGAGCACTTCTGCATCTTTCTTGCTTGACACCAGTCGATACAGCTTTGTGTCATCAGCATATAATTTCATTGTGCTGCGGACAAGTCTTGGCAGTTCATTGACGAACAGTATAAACAATACTGGGCCTAAAACCGATCCCTGTGGCACTCCACTGCTGACACTGATGCTGTCCGACAGCTTCCCGTTTACTGACACCCGTTGTGTTCTGTTTCTCAAGAACTCAGATATCCACTTTAGTATGCTTCCCCTGATTCCATATCCATGTAGTTTTGCCTTCAGTCTCTCATGCGGTACTGTGTCAAAGGCCTTGCGATAATCTAAGTATATCACATCCACACCGTTTCCTTCATCAATCAAACTTGTCCAGTCTTCAAATGTCTCCATTAGGTTTGATTGACAGGACCTTTTTCTGACAAATCCATGTTGGTGATCTGATATGATGTGGTTGGATTCCATGTGCTCTGTAATATTCCTTCTGATCAATCGCTCTAGTAGTTTACATACTTGGCTTGTTAGACTGACGGGTCTATAGTTTCCTGGTTTCTTCTTACTTCCACCTTTAAATATTGGAATCACTGTGGCTTCCTTCCATACTTTTGGTATCTTGCCTGCTTCCAGTGACTTGTTAAATAGTGAGGAAAGAGGCTGGGCCAGGGCCTCAGCACAGGACTTCAGCACTATTGAAGGGATCCCATCAGGCCCAGAAGCCTTGTCCCCATCCATCCTCCTCAGCTCTTCCAATACTTCCTGTCTGGATACCTTCATATTAGTCAGAATCGTAGTGTCTATGTCCACTGGGATGGTGGGAACCTCTAAATTGGGATCCTCTTCCACATATACTGTTTGAAAAAATGAGTTAAGTGTCGTTGCTGTTTCTTCATCCGTTTTTGTCAATTGTCCTGCGCCCTTGTCCAGTGGTCCCACCATTGCTTTTACCTTCGTCTGAGACCTTATGTATCTAAACAATGTCTTCGGTTCAGTTTTTACTTTTCCCAATAGCGTGGCTTCATATCTTCTTCTTGCGCTTCTTATCATGCGTGTTGTGCGGTTTCGTTGTTTCACATATGCTTTGTGCTGCTCTTCACCTTTTGTTCTGCAGTACTCTTTCCAGGTTTCATGTTTCTTTTTCACTTCACGCTTCAATTCATTGCTCCACCAGAGTGATTTGTTGCTTTTTCGTTTCTGTCTATATTTGGGTACAAACTTTTGGATAGCTGATCGCAACTTTTCCAAAATGAAGTCCCATGCTTCTTGCACATCCATGCCTTCTAAGCAGTCCCAGTTTATTTTCAGCAATTCTTCTTTCATTTTGTCGTACCTGCCCCTCCTATAGTTGAATGGGATGTCCACCTTTTCTTTCATATGTGTGTGGTCTATTGTTTGTTTATACTCGCACTTCCACTTCAACACAATGTGGTCACTTTTCCCTAGTGGTTGAAAGGGCTCCAGCTCATTAACCAAGTACTCTCTGCTAGTCAATACCAAATCTAATCTTGACGGGGTGTGTCCTTCCCTGTATCGGGTATCCATATTGACATGTTGGTAGAGGAAAGCGCTTTGAGTGGCATCGAAGAATCGAGCAGCCTCACAATCCTCAGGGCCATCCACCACCCCGTCCTCCCAACATATATTCAGAAAATTAAAATCCCCCATTATCAGGACATTTCTATTCTTCACGACATTGTGATGCCGCAGGAGTTCAATCAGTTTTTCGTCGTTTTCCCTGGAACTATTTGGAGATCTGTAGCAGATTCCGATCAACATACTCTCTGCCCGCGTCATTTTTACTGTGACCCATAAAGCTTCCTCAAAGCCTACGTCATTCAGTTCTGAGCACTCTGATACAATAAGGTTCTCACGAACAAACAGCATGACCCCTCCTCCTTTCCTGTTCTCTTCTCTGTCATGTCTAAATGTTGGATGGAACCCCTCGATACTGTAGTGCTCCTTCATCCATACCTCTGTGAGTCCAATGATGTCAGGTTTCATTTCTTCTATCATTCCTTCCAGTTCCCTCCTCTTATTTCTCAAACTGTTTACATTTGAGTACATAAATGTGAGACAGCCTTTGTTGTCATCACTGTCTTTTGGGCACCACTTTGCCCCGAAAAATTGTGTGCGTCTCTTTTCCTTTTTGAAGAAGTTCTTCTCTCAACTTCTTTTGTGCCTCTCTCTCCTCAGGAGAAAGATCCTTTGTTAGGTACACATTCGGGTATCCCACTTCCTTCAATTGTGTTCGTCTTTTAATTAGCTGATTCACAAGATCTCTGTCTTTCAGCTTAACCATCATAAGCCTGGGTTTCTGATTGGCTGCTGATGCTCCCTCGGCCACCTGTTTCTTTCCCAGTCTAAACACCTGGGCTATCTCCACTTTCACTTCACCCAGAAGAGAGGTGGTGACACCCTTGAAACTGTTTGCGTCATGTTGTTTACGTACGTCAGGGTCTGGTGACATACTCTCTGGAATGTTGTGCAGGATGATATTGTTTTCTCTTTCGTCTTTGTTTTGTGCCTGGACCATCTTTTTTATCTCTGCTGCACTATGTTTTAGCTCCTCTGTATACCGGGGAACTATCTGAACTGCCTCTTTTTGTTCCTTCATAACCACTTCGGTTTTCGCCTGTTGTTCGCAAAGTCGTTCCACAGTCTTCTCCAACTGTCCAATTTTCTCAGTGAGCGGTGCCCGACTTAGACTATCATCACGTGTCTTGTCCTTCAGCGTGTCCAGAATTTTCTTTTCTGCCTCCGCTATCCTAGTCTCTAAGTTTTTCCCCATATCGAGAAGAGCGGTGACTTTGGGCCTGCACGCCATGCACAGCCACAGGAAATCATATTCTGATAAGGCTATGAAAGCTTCCACAGACAGACCCTGGCATTTTGGGTGGAACCATTCTTTGCAGGCATCGCACATAATGCTATCCTCTTTACTAGAAATAGATAATCCACATACCTTTTGGCCTCCTTTGCACGTGTACCTGGTTTTCCTTGTTTTCCGCGCTGGACTCCAGCCCTTTTTCTCTTTTCCACTTACTTCTTCGCCCTCACTTGCCTTGATTCCACCATCACTTTCTTCATTTTCTGTCTGTTCCATATTTGCTTGCGCCATATTTGTCCCCGCACGTTTTGGCGGCATGCCAAATCACCACGAGCTGTCATGATGATGTCACGACACACAAAATTTTCAAAAAATGAATTTTTGTGAAGTTCTAGATCTCGTACGGAAACAAAAATAGCACCATTCGATTAGTCATGAAAAACTGCATCAGATGAACAACTTTTTAGGTCTTAACAACCATGTTCAAAATTTGATCTCACTTGACCTGACCTCGACCTGAAATTCATCCAGATATGGTCCATATCACTTATTGAGTGTGTCTATTGAATTCTATAAATACAATGACCCATAAAACATGTGTCACACATGCCCTTTCCTATATTTTGTTTTTTTGTGACCTGACCTGACCTTGACCTTTGCATGATATTGTATGCAACAAATATTGTCTAGGTAGCCTAAGGACACATTTTGGGCAATCAGTCTCAGTCCTTTCTTCGGCACCTACGGTGCAAGGCCGATACTGAAGAAAATTGCATTTTGTACCCTTGACCTGACCTTAACCTAAAATTGGCTCTTAAGATCTGCCTTGTTGGGAGCTTTCAACTGCCATTTTCCCCATCTTTCTACAATCATTAGATTGGAAGTTAGACAGGGGGGGCAGAATCTGCCCCCTCCAGCAGGGCGCGTATGGCTGAATAGCCCGGCAGGACGTGGGTCAAGGTATATCCAATTCAAAGCTTGAGGCAATTTAGAGCAATTTAAGATGCAGTGGGCACACTGTTGATCCTACAACCTCTGCCCTACACTGTGAAATGGGAGATAGTGATAAAAAGGTTACAAAAAATATTTGATAGTGACATGATGGTGATGATAACAACACAAGTCACAACCCAACTCCAATAAAAATGGTAAATGACCCAAAGAGAGAGCGATCCAGTGAAAAATGGTAGAGAAATTGTTAGGTACTGTAGATTTCGTTTGTTTGGTCAGGTTAGGTATAGGACAATGCTCTATTCCTCAGTACCTATCTATACAATCTATTGTCTTAGCACTGGCCAACTGGAGGCAAGGCCGTATACAGTGCTGCCAGATGGGGAAGGCTGTAATCCTCCAGATCAATTACAAAAAATCCTCCAGATTCCTCCAAATCCTATTGGTAGATATAGAAAGGCGGTCTTGGACGCTGCGGGGGGCTATACCCCCAAAAAAGTTTCACCAAATTCTAAAAACTCATCGGATTTCGAATCCTTTCGCACTGCTGTGCAGTTTAAAAGATACTTTTTCTCATAAAAGTTCAGTTTTCGTTTTATCCTAAAAGAACGAAAATTGTCGTCGATTTCGGGCGCTGCAGGGGGACCCGGGCATTTGCCCCAAATGTTCCCCTTAGATCCGCCAGTAGTTTGGTACCCTCGAAGATATAACTTAACTTATACAGACTGAGACATTCTGCAGTCTCACGGTGATAAAGGGCGTGACATATCCTAACGGGTAGGGTGACGCTGGGCAGGAAAATGCCTTTTTAGTCTTGAATGTGTTATATTTTTCCATGAAATTGAATATAATAATCGGGCGACAAATCCTCCAGATTTTCCTCCAGAATCAAAAATCCTCCAAAAGCGAAATTTGTCCGCAAATAGAGTTCAAAATCCTCCAGATTTGCGGAAATCCTCCAAATCTGGCAGCACTGGCCGTATATTAGGACTGGAGTTGGACTGGAGGGAGGAGCGGCTGCAAACCGAGGTCATGTAAAAATATTTATGAAGCCACGGGGGGTTATTTGAGGTAACTTTGCTGATGTTATATGACGTCATGAATAACACTTATGTTCCATAACTCCTTTTGCTCAAAACGCGTACAACTTAATTACATTTTCATCATGTACGTACGATTACGTATAAAAATGAAAATTTGCAATAAATTCGCAGGGTGAGTACTCATATTTATGAAAAATAACAAAGTACAGGCCTACGGGGTGGGTCACTAGCGAATATGATGTGATGATGTCATAAATCCAAAGAGGCTAGCAACTGAAACGAAACAGCACGTGTTTATTACGCTGGCGCGGGAAATTTGAGAGGAGAGAGAAATTTGGTGCGTTGTGTGTGTATTGTTCTTGGTATTGTTAGAGAAAATATGGGCATTTATTTATCCTAATTATTGTAATCCACCAAGAACAAGAAGGGTGCATGTCTCTTCACTGCAGCACGCACTGAAAACTATTGTTGAGGGGTTGGTCATCTCGCGCGTGAGATACTGCATATCCGTTTACGGAAACTTCTGCCGACAACTGTACCAGACTTCTCAAAATTATTAACTTCGCTACAAGAGTTATTACCAAGATAGTTATTACCGGCCTCAAAAAGTACGACCACGTGTCTCGCGCGCGGGATGACCTGCACCTCACATCGGCCTCTGACATGTACCGGGTCGCAGCGGTGACCGTCGCGCGCGGTGCCATTGCAGACCTCGATCCCGGCAGTTTCAAGAGAGCAGTGAAGGCGTTCTTCTGATGGACTGACGAGTGGCTGTGATTGACGGTAGTGTGGTGGACGGTAGTGAGCTGCCCTTTTAGACCTCGATCCTGGCAGTTTCAAGAGAGCAGTGAAGGCGTTCTTCTGATGGACTGACGAGTGGCTGTGATTGACGGTAGTGTGGTTGCATATGGAGTGTGTGTGTCTGTGTGCGTGGCGAGTGTCTGGTATATGTATAGGTGTGTGATTTGACTTTTTATTGTCTTTTACCCTGACGTATGTTTTTTTTTTTACTCGCAATGACTTTAGAAACGGAATAGCCACAGTGTATGTGGAGTGTCTGCCTACGTCAATACTATACAATACTCTTTTGCAGTTCTCTTTATAGCATATGTATATACCGTGTATAATACGTTGTATATTGATATGGGGGCTTATGTGGGTATTAGTAATGTTCTATAAATTGCAATCATTTCAACGTACATGACGCAGGTTCATCAACATGGATGATATCCTAGAATTAAATGATTGATCAGTTATTATTACATAAACTCCCATAAAATAATCATAGGATACTGGCAGATACACTTCACAGTGGCGGCATAACACCTTCAATTAAAGGGGGGGGGGACAGGGATACTGCCGACTTTTGGTCCCATTCTTTCCATGCAACACCCATAGTGCTAATGTTAAAATGCCAAAATCAAAGGGGGGCACGGTGCCCCCCTCGTTCCGCCGCCTATGGGCAGATAAACACATATTTGATATTGGTGTCTGTAAAGCTGGCATCACCTTCAGTGTATCTAACCTGACTGCTAATAAAGGGATCTCTCTCTCTCTCTCTCTCTCTAACCTAACCTGCACCTACCAACCTACAAGCTACCAACCCACAACTATAACCTACAACCTACCATACAATTACTTGCCTACTATAAAATAAGCTGACGGTAGGCGGGTAATGCCAGCTTTACTGATACCAAAATATTTGCCACCCTCTAGTCTTCAACCACCTTATTTTCAACATGTTTGTTGTTATATTTTGGCTGTGGCAAAAGCAATAGTATTTTTGAGAAGGGAAAGGCAGAGCTTAGATGTATGATACATATTTTATAGATGCATATCCAGTGACATCCATACAATGTTGCCTGCTGCTTTTATTGCAATTTGATTCAGTATATTGTCCTAGCCCTTAGGATTAGGAAACTACTTGCTGGAAGAGAAGCTATGCCCACTATCAGTTATTTAATTTTGAGTTCGCTCTTGATAAGTTTTATAGAGTAACATTGACATTGACATTATATTTTTGTTACAGGATACTGCCTGCAATGGCCACTCAGCAGAGCATAGCAATTTTTTTCAAGAGAAAAAATGAGGGTGCTCCTCTGAGGGAGAGCAACAAGAAGGTATGTGCATACCAGACTGCAACGTCTGGTAGCTAAGTCCTTGAGCTGCAATAGCCACTGCTAGAGTGCATGTCTGCATCAGTGCACACGAAACAATGCTTATAACTTTTAATAACCTTTGATCCAATGCTTTGATCAAAGTAATTGGTACTTCATTTCATTACACAGTTAGGGACAAGTTGTAAGTATGGTCTACACAAGTCAGGTCAGTAGGGATTATAAAAGGCACTGTAAAAGAGAAAATCAAAATCTGTTAGTCCCTAAAACTGAGCGGGTCAGGGTAAGTCGGAAATCGGGGTGATCGCTGGTCGCCGGGTACAGAGGCCAGCAGTTCCGGATGGTGCGAACTGCGAACCCTATTGATACAGCCGTTTATTGGTGAGAGCTGCGCACTGCGCAGTGACGGTGTCCGCACTGCGCCGTGACGGTGTCCGCCCATGGTGTCCGCCACCCGCCAGGGAACGGTGTCGGTGAGCTATACGCTGTGATCTAACAGTCAGGTTCCCCGGCCCAGGCTCCCAGTCGCACTGGCGTGTTCCAAGCAGTTGGTGGCTCGAGCCGTCCCTCCTGGAATTCGGGTCGATGGTGACCTTGGCTGGTGAACTGGACACTCAGCGGCCTGAGTCGACGTACCCGGCCGCGCAGGACGGACGTCGGTGGCTCGTAGACGTTTTACCAGCCTGCCTGGGTTGGTGGCTGGCTGGGCTGTGTTATCTGGTTACTGAACGGGGCCGGGTGCAGTGAGTCACAGCTTTGGAGATGGTGGGACGGCGGAGCTCGACCCGGCTGAAGATGTCCCGCCCCGCAGCGTCTAACCAGCCGAGCGGGCCGCCCGCCAAACGGAATCGTCGGGCTCCCACTGGCCAGAATCGTGAGGTCTGTCCGAAACTGGGATTGGGATTATGGGATTATCCCAGTGCGCAAATCTTGGCTTTGGACGTTTTCCCGTTGTTTTAGAGCGCTCATGCTCACGGGCTGCGTTACTTGCCGCAATGTTTGAAGTTTGCTGAGTGTGTGTGTGTGGGCAGGGGGGGGGGGGGGCGATCTTAGCAACATTGTTGGCAACTGTTAGCGATTCTAATTTCACCACATGTATCATATAGTTGATGCTGCGCTTAATAACTCAGTTGATCTGCGGAACTACTCCCGTTGTTAACCGACGAGCTCGTGACAATGTGCCCGAGTGCTAGCCGATGTATATGCTCTCCTCACTAGTATCCCCTCCCCCTTAGCCGCACGTGGACTCGACTCCCGAGAAAAAGACAGCGCCCGTTTCCCCGAGCGCGAGCAAGGGCATGTCGCCGGGCTCTCCGGCGGCGCTGCGCTCAGAGCTGCTGAAGCTCTGTGCTGTTCACAAGGTCCTGCATCCGTCCATGGCACTCGGATGGTACAAGGCGCTGAAAACAGAGTTCGATAAGCCCTACTTCAAAAAGGTAAAATATATTGTCAAGTATCATTATAACATTGTTTGAATGAACTAGTCCATAACTGTTTACAATTTGCGGAGCTACATTTTGAATGTAGGCGGAACAAAAGTAGTGGTAGGTACCTACATTGAATTTCAGTCGGTAAGTTCTTCAGTCGGTAACAAGTGTTACGGAGCCTACATTTGATTCAGTTTTATTCGAACTTTAAATGAACTAAGTGAGCTCTCACATCGAGCAGGGCTCAGAGATGATCTCCGGCAGGCGGCCGGCCGTATGAACGTTAACTCAGCTAATCGGCGCCGTGTCTGCAGCTGAGCGAGTTCGTCACGGCGCAGCGGCGGCAGCACACGGTGTTCCCGCGCGCCGAGCACGTGTTCTCCTGGGCGGCCGGCGACGTGAACGACGTCAAGGTGGTGATCCTCGGTCAGGACCCGTACCACGGACCGGGACAGGCTCACGGTGAGGACCCGTACCACGGACCGGGACAGGCTCACAGTGAGGACCCGTACCACGGACCGGGACAGGCTCACGGTGAGGACCCGTACCACGGACCGGGACAGGCTCACGGTGAGGACCCGTACCACGGACCGGGACAGGCTCACGGTGAGGACCCGTACCACGGACCGGGACAGGCTCACGGTGAGGACCCGTACCACGGACCGGGACAGGCTCACGGTGAGGACCCGTACCACGGACCGGGACAGGCTCACGGTGAGGACCCGTACCACGGACCGGGACAGGCTCACGGTGAGGACCCGCACCACGGACCGGGACAGGCTCACGGTGAGGACCCGTACCACGGACCGGGACAGGCTCACGGTGAGGACCCGCACCACGGACCGGGACAGGCTCACGGCCATGGGTGGGGGACGGGTGGATAAGCCGTGTGACGGGACACGGTCACATGGGCACCATAGGAATGGTGCCCATGAGAGGATGAGAGAATCCTGAGAAAGGAAACGGACGACAGGGTCATGGTGAACGGGACCGGGACAAGAAACTCAATGTAATGTCTCAATGCGAGAACCTGCTCAGGAAGCACATTCGTATTTCTGTACATTATTTCCCGTTTTCATGTTACTCGTGGTACAGATATCACGAAGGTGCAGCAATTTTTGTCTGTCGCGACTTTATGTTTCACCGCCTATCCCCTGTTGCAGGCCTGTGCTTCAGCGTGCAGCGCGGCGTGGCGCCGCCGCCCAGCCTGGTCAACATGTACAAGGAGCTGGAGTCTGACGTGGAAGGGTTCCGCCACCCGGGCCACGGCTGTCTGCTGGGCTGGGCGCGCCAGGGGGTGCTCCTGCTGAACGCCTGCCTCACGGTCCGCAGCGGACAGCCCAACTCGCACAAAGATCAGGTAGGTCGAAGCGACTAGACGTCCGTACGGGACTTTTACTACCCGGGGACAGGTGAGCAAAGTAAATGCGTATTACAAACGAATTATAGTGCTGAACAAATAGAACAATCCGTTTCTAAATTCTAATGCGCAATGATTTGCTTGCTCATGCATTCGGAGCCTTTGTGTCGCTTTGCTGCCTTTCCAAATTAGCCGGACATTTGCTTATTTATTTTTTACGAGCTTCGGATACCTCTTTGAAGGTGAGCTAAGGCTAGTTTGAGCATTTTTACATATTACAAGCGAGCGAGCGTAGCGAGCGAAGCGAAGTCTTTTCAATATAACGGAAAAATCTCAGTATGAGCGGCCCGGCCCGGCCTGTAACGCTTGTGAGAGGCTTATATCTCAGCAACCGCTGGACCGATTATCCTGTCTTTTTTGCTGGGTAGCCCCATCCCTTCTACCCCGTAATTGACTACTTTTGATACAACTCAGTGACCGTCGTGGCACGTGCCATGTGAAAGGCAAGGGTGTTCAAGCTGTTTCAGTGGCGGATCCAGGGGGAGGGCAAAATGGGCATTTCCCCCCCCCCCCCAAACGGCATAATTTTAACATTACGCCTATGGACGAGGCATGGAAAGAATCGATAAATTGTTATGGTTTGCCCCCCCCCCCCAAAAAAAAAACTGAGCTGGATCCGCCTCTGAGCTGTTTTGCAAAAGTAGTGATTTTGATAGGCTCATATCTCAGCAGCCGCTTGGGCGATTGTTTCGCGGTAATTTTTGTAGGGTAGCTGCATCCCTTCTACCAAAGTTCAGGTACTCTTGATCTATGTGACTGACCCCTACTGCACGTGCAAAATACAAAAAGAAGATTTGTTCCCATTTCAATAACTCGGTTCTGAAGCGATTTCGCTGAAACTTGGCATACAGGTAGGCACCCACCAGGCAATGCATTCCCATGTGTTGCGGTTAGGGTGCTACTGCACGTGCGCACGTGCAGGGGGCGCTTCCAGATCTCGAGAACGGCTGGGCCGATTGCGCTCAAATTTGGTACACTGTTGGGGACCGGTTAGTAGGGTGCCGTGCAAAAGTCAGTTTGGACCCCGCTTGCACGTGCGCACGTGCAGAATGCCGCTTCCAGATCTCAGGAACGGCTGGGCCGATCGCGTTCATATTTGGCACACCGCTAGCGACCGGCTAGAAGGGTGCTTTGCACAAGCCCGTTGGAAGTACCCTCTCGCCCTTCCGCACGTGCAGGGCTGGCACTATCTCGCTCGCTTGTTCTTCGCTCAAAAGGCGTTTTGCTGGTGAATATATGAATATAAACACGATAACATTGGATACTTCTGTTTGAAGATTGTTATTTGTTAAATATCGTGTGTGGCATATGCTGCTTGGACAGATTGGAACCGGACATGATGTTACGTAGAATCGTTCTGTGAACTGTATGTGTGTTATGTGTAGGGGAAGGTGGGGTAAGACGGCCCAGCGGGGCAAGACGGACCACCAGCCCTCCCGGCTGAACCGCTGCTGGTATCTACTGCTTTATGCACTCACTATGTTTGTTTTCCTTCGTAACAATGGCCACCTTGAGCTCATGCTGCTAGGATGCATAACTTTTTGAGTTATTGAGAAAAATGTTGTTTTTCGTCAAACCGATCTAATATAAGAGTTCTACGGGTGATTCAATTACGGCGCCTTTCCTGCATGATTAGTTTCTATTTTGCATTTAACTGTGAAGAACAAAGTTATAAACTTAGTTATAGTCACACTTTAGGAAAGGCAAGGTTTTGCAATGTTGGGCTATTTGACATATACGTCATGATAATGACAGAATTTAGATTTGGGGCAAGACGGACCACTGTGGTCCATCTTACCCTGTGGTGGTCCATTGTACTCTGCATATGGAAAGTTATTTTCCAAAACATTGACACAAGTTTGAGTAAGCTAATTTTTCAGGAAGGAGTCTTTGTTGCATGTGAGCCATGCATGCAAGTGCTCAGTTAGCTGCATTCATGCCAAACGACATTCAACACATATGTTCCCAGCTTTTAGCTGCACTACCATCACACATGAGTAAAGAATAAAGGCTCATATTGTTATTTTACCATTCTGGTTACTTTTTCTTACAAGAGTACAGAGCAGAAGTGTAACACACATGAACGGATAGCAGGCACTGCTGGGTGGTCCGTCTTACCCCACGTTTTTTCTTGTCTGAGTTTTTGACATGTCCCTCTTTAAGAGCATCCACCACCTAGATGTCTTTAATTTGAAATTTAGTCTTTACACATATCAACAGAGGAAGGATTGAGCATTCCGAAGACTATAAATAATATGAATTACGAGAGCAGTGTAGTAAGATATGCGGCCTCAAACCTTAGCTGGTCCGTCTTACCCCACCTTCCCCTATATCCGATAGTATGTAGTAGAACGTAGGTAACGTGTGAAACTGAACAGATTTATTGCAGGGCTGGGAGCAGTTCACCGACGCTGTAATCAAGCACATCAGCAGCAACCAGAAGCACGTCGTCTTCATGCTGTGGGGGTCGTATGCCCAGAAAAAGGGCTCGGTGGTTGACAAAGTAAGCGAATCAAGCGTAGTTTCTTTCATGGCTGTTTGCTGCGTTACGCCATTTTCAAATACACCATGCATACATGTGCATTGATCCGAGAAAATGGACCTGGGATCTGCTGCCGCGCAATCCTGATCTGAAATCCGATGGGATCATAGATCCAGTTTTTGATTTATCAAATTGGTATCATAGATTCGAGTCTGATTTTTTACTTGAGGTCCAGGTGGGATCTTAGATCCTCACTGATTTTTTTTGTCAACACAGAAATCCCAAAGATTTACTTGTTGCAGCTCACAAAAGTTCTGTTTATTTCGCGTGATTGCACGACGTCGCAATGCATAGTATTATGGCACTTATTGACATATAAACCCTTGGAAACATGGTTTCAAATGTTTTGCTTGGTGGGATCCACTCGGATCATAAATCCATGTTCGTAGTATATCGTCAGATCCTATGAGATCATAGATCCTAATTTGTAGCTTGCCTAGAGATCTACTAAGATCATAGATCCATTACTTGGATCCATGCACATGTCTGACACTAGCACTTCGTTCCTTTTATATTTAATGTAAATGGCTTTGGAGATGGCGGTTTTTACGTCACTTTTACGTAACATGCTGTTAAGCTGCCGTTACTAAGTAAACATTTCATACTTTTTTGCGGATCAATTTGCTCTTAACTAGGGAGCCGATGACATCAGCAGTTCCCTCTCGTCGAAAAAAATGACTACTGGTCCCCTCGCCCCTCGCACAGAGCCGGCACCACGTGTTGACGTCCACCCATCCGTCGCCTCTGTCCGCACACCGCGGCTTCCTCGGCTGCAAACACTTCTCAAAGTGCAACCAGGTGAGCCGCAGAGCTGGGCCTTCCATTGGGACGGGCTACCGCCAGGTGCTGTGATTCCAGTCGACTGATTGTTGCGTCCAATGTAATATAATAAAGTTCCAATGGCTGTTCATTGAGTTCGTTATCTATTTGAGCAATTGAACATATCCTAAAAAAAAAACAATGCCAGCGATGACGTATTATGCAATCTGCATGGAAAATGTTTGACGGCGACTGGCGACGTTTGGTGTTTCTGTTTTCCCGCCGGCTGAATAGTTTTCGCTTTCCGACAGCTGCTGATTCAAAACAACCGGACGCCGATAGACTGGAACGACCTTCCGCCAGAGTAAGGTCAGCACTCATCCCTGTATAGTCTGCTGTCAACAAAGTGGCATTGTGAGTCGTGAGTGAAACGACAAGACTGACATGGGCTGAAATGGCACATCACATTTAGAAGTGTTCGACCGTCATTGATGCATTCCTTCATCCATACGTTGCATTGCTGATCAAACGGCCATATTTTGTTACCAGTTTATCAGAAGTTTTCTTAGTTTTTTTGCCAGACAGCCTTTTTGCCAGACCGTTTTGTATGACGTATGGGTATTGAGTAACATACCCTTTTACCAATGTCTTTGCGTCGACAACGTCTTCTACTGAAATTTTTCAAAGTTTTCGCTGGGGTTATTTGTACTATGTGCAAACACAATAAAGAAGCCCAGACTGTACTTAGAATGCAGAACACCAAGCACGGTGCTCCTCTTCCGGCGGCCGATTTTGTGGCTGACACGACTGATGCATTGGAATGTGAACATAAAGTACAAACGTTAAATAAAAGCTCAAACATTTTCTGGCTGCTGTGGTGATGGGTAAGGTCAACGGTGTAACGCGGTGCAGGTTTTCCAACGAGGTACGTAGCTACCCGAAGTATATGATAAAAACAACGAAGTACCCACAGAAGAGCTGCAATAGGCGAAAACCATGAGTCTCATTTTCTTTGACTTTTCATAAACGTAAAGGTCATCAAAGGACATCACATTTGGCTACTTTTCTTGGACTTTTCATAAACATAAACGTCATCAAAGGACATCACATTTGGATCAAAGTTTCGACCTATGTATTTCGAATACCTACAGCCTACAGGTCGAAGCATTCGGCCTATTTCGAATATCGCCTATATCGAATAAAACCTTTTTCGGCGTGATCGGTCCTACTACTGTTTCGGGCGGGTTTTAGCAGGGGCGGAGAATTGTCATAATCCCAGAGGGTGCTTTTCAGCATCTCGCGAATGGAAGCGTCGAATTTTTGCGTAGAAAAGCACATCTAAGTACGCTTTCCCAACAGCATCACTCTTCTCGCGACTTACGCAAAGCAGTTTGTGTCTCAGACGTAATTTAACCCGCGCATGACTGGGGCGAGGGGGGCTCTACAGAGCCCCCTCCGGTTTTCGGCAATATCTTCTAAACCGTTTGACAGATCAACACGAAACTTGCGGTACCCTCAGCGTCATCAATTTGACACCTTGAAAATTTCAATATTTTAGCTACCATAGTTTGGCCGGAAATGACGTCAGAGTGACGTCATGTTGGTCGATTTTGATGCAAAATATTGAAGTACGGCAAACGCCCTCAAGAGCTCAGTTTTAAAGCTAGATCCAATTTATTTGCATGAGTGGACTTCAAAGCACAAATACACGTAACTATCAAAAACAGCTATCTCGAATTTTTCGAAATTTTGAAAATTTCGAAAAATATGTTTTTACAATAATTACAAAAAATTGATTTTTTTCAAAAAGTTTTAGATTTTTCGCAAATATCGGAATATATGTGATAGAACACACACTGATAAACTACTTAGTACTTAGCAACTTTTAGCCCAATACATTCAAAAATAGCCAAGTTATTTGCATTATTGTCAAAATTTTAGGTACAATTAGATTTTTCAAAACCATTTTTAACCCTCGCACGACCAGGCCATTTCTCATAACACGAACGACCAGGGGGGGGGGGGGGGTTGTTACGACCCCCCCCCTGGCGTTTCGAAACGGAAGGTCGTAGAGCTTAGCGGAAAAAACCAACGGATTGCTCTCAACGAGATCTCGCGATTGGTGGTATATTTTTTGGTCCTAGGTCAACATTAGACCTACTTTTGACCGGTCAAAGGTCAAATTTTCGGGAAAATATACTTTTTTCAACTTTCGGCGGCGATTGCGGCAAAACGGTGGGAGATATCGACTTGAAACCTTCACTATCGTGTTCCTTGATCAATTCTCTATCGTTTGGTATGTATTTCGTTTCCCTAGCTCTAAAAATGGCGCGTTGGGAGCGCCGGAAGTCGGCAAGGTCACAGTCGGCGGCAGAAATTCGAAAAATCAAAATTTAAATTTTTGAAATCTGATTGTATTTTTGGATTTGGGAGGTCCATTTGCTCCCTATAGAAGCTAATATTGCTGCATATTCCCATTGAGGTGACAAGAATTAGCAAAATAGTGGTTCGGGCGCTTTTCAAAAATAGTACCGGACGCTGTTCCTCTTGTGACGTCATAGCTCCGTGACCTGACCTGACCCGGTCAAATTTCTTATACCATATGATAGCCAATACTTGCCCCAACATGCATGGGAAGTTTCATCACGATCCATCAACCGATGTCCGTACCACCGGCAGGAAACCTCGGGCGTTGGCACTCAGTTTGTGAAAATCCGGCCGGAGGCTGTACCTCTTATGACGTCATAACTCCGTGACCTGACATGACCCGATCAATTTTTTTTGGCAAAAGATGCGCAAAGGCTGCCCCAGAGGGTATTGAAAATTTCAGCCCGCTACGACAAGCCGTTTAGCGTGCACTTCGAAAAAACCTCAGGGGGGGGGGGGTTGATACACCCCCCCCCCCTAGGCGTTCTAGGGTTAATACTTTTTTGACATCGTACAACAATGGCACCATCGTGTTCCTGAGCTCAAACTGCATCAGTTAGGCGTTTTTTTTTTTGTTGAAAAAATATCATTTTCAAAATTTGACCTTTCCTGACCTGAAAGTGACCTCCGGTAAATTAACCCGCGCCCGGCTGGGGGTCCTGGATTTCCACGCCCTGCTGGGGGGGGGGGGGTGTTCAAACACCCCCCCCCCCTTCTAACTCGGCTCCTGGGCCACGTAGCGATACGCCGAAGGCGTCGTTCGAAAGAGCGTCAAAAATAATGACGAAATCACTTCAGTCAATTTTTTGGTCAGGTCAAAGGTCAGGTCACCAGAGGTCATTGAAGGCAAATTTCGCCGATTTCCAGGTCGAATGTCGACAATTTCCAAAAATCCAACGCATAACTCGGGAACCAATAGAGCTACAGCGCCGCGGAAAAGCGCATTCGATAGCCCTATTAGCGCCCTTTCTGAGTAATTCTCTCAGATTTGACCTAACGTCAACGGTTTTGCCTGCAGGGGGCAAAAACTGCAAAAATAGCCGATTTTTTCGGAAACAGTTTTTCTGCAATAACTTTTGACCCAAGCCTTGTACGAGCTTACTTTTACCGGCATCGTGTTCCTCTCGTCAAGACGCGTTGAATGAACTATAACTTGACCTTTAAAGGTCAACTTGAAAATTTGACCTCAGATCAAGGTCATGACCTGACCGGGAAGGGTCATGTTGCATATCAGTCGATCCGTATTGTCGAGCTGAACACATCTAAGGCGTTTTCATCGCTCTAGCATGCCTCTATCAAAAGTTATTTGCGAAAAACTGTTAGATGCCATTCGTGACCTAAGATGACCTCAGGGCATGAACAGGGGTCACGGACACCATTTTCATGTTCAGTGTGTCTAAAACACTTGTAATTCAGTGTTTGGGAGTGTTTATAATGTCCTTCGTCAAAAAGCGGCGCATTTCAATTTTCTCCCATTGACTTATAATGGGGAGGTCGCAAAATTGACCTGACCTTAGGTCATCGATATCAAAATTCTGAGATATACATTTTGTACATGCTATTGCTCTTAGCAATCGCTGAAAGTTTCAAAGCGATCGGTCACTCGGTGTAGCTTTGACAGACATTTAAACTTTTTATGAGGTGAGGTCACTTCAAGTGACCTGGTGACCTGACCTTGAATGACCTTGGTCTGAAATTTTCACAACATGTGTAGAATTGATGTATGATAAGGTGTACCAAAAACGGCGGCGCTCCGCGCCGCCGTTTTTGAGATATTCGCGAAAAACCACAAGGGGGGGTGTTCAGACACCCCCCCCAGCAGGGCGCGGGTTAAGCTGAAAATGACTTCAAATGACACAAACGACATTGTTTTCGAAATCTATGAGTAAAATGGACCACAAAACATGCGTCACGTGACCGATAAATGATATACAATTTTCGTGACCTAGTATGACCTGAGAAATTCGAAGTAAAAGTTCGGTACCCTCAGGGTATCTAAGGCATATATTAAGGAGTGCGTAAACCAAAAATGAGCCTGATCGGACATGTCAGCCGGCAGTCAGAGCCTAAATTCTGAACAAGCAAAAATGCTGATAATTTTTACTTTGACCTGGCCTGTGACGTCATCGGTGACCTGAAGGTCAATGAAAATAGGTTTCGTTCGACAGTTTTTCTAGTGCTATCAGACGCCGTTTGAATGTTGACGATCGGCCCAGAAGTTTCGGAGATAAGAGGGGGCTCTGAAGAGCCCCCCCCCCCCCCTCAGTCACTTGCGTTATGGAAAATACCCCAGCCATGCGCGGGTTAAGCAATCACTGGAGCACTATTATACGGTGACATTTGAGTTTCAGGGGCTGCTCGAGCACCCCCGAACCCCTAATTCTCCACCCAAGGGTTTGAGGATGGTTGCAGATGCGGTTGGTTAACATATTAAAAAAAAATAGTCCGAAATTTTTGATTGAAGGATTCACAAGGACAGGGCCCCCGCTAAGCGAAGCTTGTTGCGTTGACTCTGCCCTCTACCCTCCGATCAAGCAATTCCGGTTCTATGGCAGAATTTAGAGTCAAAAGTTTAACGTCCGCACAAAGCCGCGCACGACCGTTCCCCTCACTCACTTCGCCTGGCTACGGCCTGCCGCCGACCGCAACCATGCCTGTCAGCGAGGCGTCAAGGGTGGTGTTTCACCGATGATAGCACTAGCTAGCAGCACGCTGCTATTACACGTTCAAATTGGGTTTCCACGGAGACGTCAACAAGCCCATTACTCCAACACTACCACAAGTGTGACGTCAGCTCTTGAAATGGAATAGCAGCGTAGTAGCAGCCAAGTAGCAGCGTCATGACATCGCCAGACGCCAACCGCGAATTTTGTTGTAGGATGGGTGGTATTGGTAGGAATCTTGGTATTGGTATAGGCAAGAACATTGAGCTGAGCAAGGCCCTCTAACCTATGCTCTAACCGAACTGAGTTGACCACCTTTCCAGTCGAGGTCACTGATGACTGAGGTTTCGTGAGGCCAATATATTCGACATTATTCGGGCCTCGACAGAGGGGACGGCAAGCCCCCGGATGGCCTAACAACTTTCCCATTCGCGAGTGGAAAACGTCTTGCATGGGACGCCACGTGCACGGACACTTTCTCCGAGACTGCTATGGTCGCTTGTGCCATCAACCCTGGTTCGCTTGTGCCCGCAAAATCCAGCGGTATTCATCCATTTCTGAGCAATACCTTTTCGTACCAGTGGCAGCTGAGACGTGTGGAGTTGTCGGCCCAGCCGCTTGTCGATTTTTCAAGGAACTCGGCAGAATGCAGACGTATATCACAGTCAACCGATGACCGAAGAGAAACAGCTTGGTTATGGCAACGGTTGTCAATGGCTATCATACGTGGAAACGCGGCAGCAATCATAGGATCGGCAACCCACTTCCCCATAA